ATTATCATTCTACACATAAAATGATTGATGTATCAGTATTTTTAGAATGCTGTGTTTATCCATTGATTGCATCTTATATAAAAAAAAATATGAAAGCCATTTAGTTGGTTAGCATACTTAACAAAACGTCGAATATTAATGACCACTACCAGCGGTCGTTTAGATACAATTTGACCTGATTATTTCTTACGACTATTCTCCTCCATAATTCACCAGCAAACAGTTTAGGTGGCGATCATAAATTTTATTAAGCTCGCGCGCGTCTCATATAACTTTTGATATGCAAGATGCCAGTGTTTCCCAACCAAAAATCTGTCTAAACTTTGACGATGTACTGTGTATGTGAAAAACTCTACACACAAAGTTTCTATATACTTCTATTACTTTCTATACTTCTATTATTTCTATACTTTAATAATAGATTTTTTTATCATTTCGATCATTTAAATGACTTTCTCTGAATAAAAATACTGAAAAATAACATTTATTGTCATAAGTTTCAATATTGTAAATAACATTTTTGTTTAAAAACAAGATTTAAATTAAAATATTATCAAAATTTGTAATTAATAAAAATTATTCGTAAATAATAAAAAATTGTCATTTATTATTTTGGAACTCACATTAATATATCATATTTTTTTTAAAGATATAAAAATAAAAAGTTATATATAACAGTATATAGATATACGATTGAATATACATGTAAAATAATTCTATAAAATATTTGTAACATTAATCGGTATAAAATAATATTTTTTCAGTTAGAAGTGCTTATGTAAACAGAGTTGAGAATCACCATAAAAAGTTGGCATACGTTTATATTTTTCTGTCTCGCTTCTTTTGCATGATCAAAGTACAGAAACTTCCCGTATGAGTCACATTTTATCATCGATACAAACATTCCGCGCAAAGTGAATGGTAACTGAAGCCGTTACGAAATCTGTGCCAGTTACCGTTGTACCGTTGATCTAAACATGTATTTCCATATATTCTCAGAAATAAAATGGTTATGAAAATAGTAGTATAAAATTTTTATTGCAGCTTTCTTTATTTCGTAAAAAAAACCGATTCAAAACTTTTTTATAGTATATATAATTATATGTAAAATCTGATGGATATTAAATTTATATTTTAAAATAATGTATTATTGTTTTCAAGAGTAAGCCATTCTTCGGATTGAAGATTACTCCATCGATATACTTTTATGTAAATTTATCCCGAAATATCGTTTACATATAAATTCGGTTGAGACCAACGAATTACTTTGGATAAACTCAAAGCCGAGGCCTTGTTTCCCGAAACATAGAAGAGGGAAGTTTCGACGAATATAACTCCGAGAGTTTGGAAAGCGTTGGCAACAATTCCGAAATCTATCAGCCTAGAAAACACACATACACACACACACACACACACACACACACACACACACACACACACATATAAAACTTTTATACATATTTCTCAGAAATATATATCATATCTTTACACAGCCAGAGATCAATATTCCCTCAATATTTTTTATGTTAAACGTTGCAATTATACTTGCAATTATATTTCATCAATCTTTATTTAAAAAAAATTGAATCATCGAAGAAACCGTCATTTTTTATTCATTATTCCGTGATAATAAAATCTATATGTGTCCATATAATTGTATAACGTGTCAAATAGTTATGTAATTTTAAATGATTATCTCAAAATTAACAAGTTTTTAATTTGTAATTTAGTTAAAATGGTTTATTAAAAATTGTTTATCGATAATCTTACGAAAAAAAATAAACTGAACATTTATGCCCGTTTCCACTAATATAAATTAATCTAATTAGTTTAACTTACTTTTTGTCTTTTTTTCTAGTTCTAAAAATTAGAAAAAGATAAAGAGTAAATTGAACCCGAGATTAAAATTAATTTACATTGGTGGAAATGGGCATTAGTCAAAATTATTGAATGTCATAAACTTTCATAATTATTTTCATAATTTCATTTCTCTAATTTCTTCAGTATTTAAGAAGGTCCTTCGAAACTACATTTGACGGTTCGATTATGTCTTATCGACGTGGCTTGGCGTGCGGTGCGATGAAATTGGGTCATCGTACGAAATTGCTACCACCTAAAACGAAATTATTCCGCGAAATTTCTCGACGCTGAATACGGTCTATTTGCGCGATATTAAGAACGCCATTAATAGTTGGTTTCAGTCGAGAAGGATAGTACCGATGGTACTACTAATTTTTAGACAATTAAATAATCGATTTGCCTTTCCAGATACTCTGTAAAACGTTTGTTTAAATACCCAAGAAAGTTAGAAAATTGATTGAAAGATTATATGGAATTATTATCCAAATGCTCCTCTATATAACAATACATAATCTTTTGTTAAGTCTTAAAAGCGGTGCATCTTAAATCGTTTATAATCAATTTCAGCATGAAAAGAGCACTGTAGAAATTGAAAGACTTAAATGATTTTATTAATATGACATGAATCTTAAATTAGAAAAATAAGAATACTTTTTAAATATAACGTCTTATTTTATATTTAAAATAATTTACTCTAATCATATGTTAAAATCCTAATCTTATTATCACAAAGATCAGGGGCGCTAACTTGCCGATTAGCCATGTGTGGAGTTGGACCAGCTTTGCCATATGAAAAATAGACACATAGACGAGTCTACGCGTTAGCTCTGATTAGAGCTCTAGTTCTATTCTTGTTTTAATGTTTAATAAAAAATAAATAGTGACGCAATAGCGCTGACAGCGCGTTCCCCGCCTTAACCGCCTTTAAGAAAAAACATAGACCACTAGCGATTTTCTATATTCGCGGAGAAAAATATGGACTACGTTACAAAAGAGAAAGAAGAAAGCGTGAATATTTTATCGGCTGCGTTCAATTCGCTCAGTAATTGAAATTTTGAAATAAAAGTTACAAAAAAATTTAACTATTTTTGCTCAACACTAATTATTTTAAAAAATTATTCATGTGTGGAATTCCACATACGAAAAATTCTGACGTGTGGAGTATTCCACATACTCCCCACAAAAGTTGGCGTCCATGACTGATCCAAAGATCATCATATTATAGTTGGAGTTTATTCGTCACTGACACGGATAATAAATTATCGCTCGGCAAATGATGTTTTCAAATATCATGGAAATAAAAATCATCTTATATTCTATACAAAAATCAGACAGCGCCTGCAACAAAATTTATCACAGTCGCTGTTTCTTCGGAAACTGATACGCTTTACGTCCGTCCTGCAAGTCTGTTTCCGTAATGTGACATAAATACATATTTATTGCGTGCGCAAAACGCGCACGTAGCCCGTAAACGTACAGACCTTTGAGATTTATTCAACTTTATTCTACCCCTCTCGTTCCATTACCCATGATCGATCTTCGAAATATATGTACATGTGCTTGGCTTGACCACTGGTAGTCATCTTTCTTCTGTTCACTTTTATATATAAAACATATATATCTATAGATTTTCTACATTCCTCTATCGTACTTCCATATCCTCTATCATTAGCAAGATCACGTACCGTTATTACATTTGCCATTAAGCTGTTTTAATTAGTCAGAATAATTCTACGTAAATGTACAATCGACATGAATCAATTATACAGTGGATCAATTATAAATTTTTTCATAATTTTTACACTTTTCTTGTGACCTTTAATCTTTCAACCATCAGTTTTACGCTTATAATATTTAATTGAAGATAATAATTATCTTTACCGAATAAATTTTATCAAATATTATTAGAGATACTTTTACATATAAAAAATAAAGAGAAGGTGAAAAATTCATTTAATTTCAATTTAATATTCGATGAATAATGTGTCATTTGTTATCATTATAAATTTTCTTGTCATTTTCCATCCATCTGTACCACGCAATGCAGATAAACAAATGATTGACAATTCTTACAAATATTTTTAATGTTATGATTCATAATATCAATTATGATTCATAATAACAATAACGCACACATGGCACAAGTGCGATAAGATTTATACCTAGAATACCTCAAAAGAACGCATATCCGTATGGATTAATCATAACCGTCCAACGACGATAAAAAGTACACAAGCGTTAACATATTTTTTAAATATTAAAATATCATTTATTAGAAACTAACTTCGTTTGATAAATGCATCTCATATCCAGAAAATTTTAAAAATAAATTTAGTTTTATTCGAATTGAGACTTGTAACATAGGTTTCAACAAATTTAAAACGTTACTCTTATCGAATGTAAATAATTTAAAATATGTTTATAAATATACATTAAATGATAAAACAATAAATCATCAAATAATTAATTTTTCAAAGTTTATGTATAAATTTAAAGTTTTATAAAATCTTAAGAAATCTAGAATATAGGTGAGAAGAAATTTAAGAATTTGAAACTTAGGTAAATACAAATGAAGATGTAGTAGGTAGATAAATAAACAAATCTGAGTTAGAATAACACATCACGAGAACAAAGAACCTCTAAGTCTAATGTTGTCTGAGAAAATAACAGCGCGTTGACTTTAGATGGATTGCGGATTCACAGTATATAGTTACCATGGAAATCGGAGATTATCTATACTCGACACAAATGTTATTATCGTTAGTCCTATACCATAATAAGCACGATAATTTCCTCAATATGATCACCATTGTAACCGCACACCGCAAGTGTATATTACCTGTGTAATATTCTATGTATACACCTTACATTGTAAAATGATATTAATTGCGAAAGTTTACCGCGAGAAATTCCTTCGTACTTTGATCGATTGTCGTACGATTCTCAATGACGAGATCTCATCAGATCTCGCCGCGAAGGCTGGTGGAGGGGCAGGGGAGGGTACGTATGTAAAAAAAATCCTTTTGAAAAAAAACAGCCGAGTGACAACAGGAAGTGGGACACTTTGTAGTCGGTGCAGTGGGTGAGAAATAGTAAGTGAGACGTATCCAGCAAGTGAACGAGTGGCGGTGCATACTTACGTCCCGTTAAAGGGTGCATCAGAGCGGGGTGCGAGGTGGCTGCTGCAGCGGCTGGTTGCTTGGGTTTGCTAACCTTTGTGTTACTTTTTGCAAATTCCAAACGTATGGTTTGTGGCATATCAGGATCGAATCTAACCCCCTGCTGCAAATAGATTCCCTAAATTAGTAAATTGGGAGCACACGTGGATGGGTGGTGGTAGTGTAGTAAGGCAAAGATGAGAGAAAGAAAAAAAAAATGAAAAAAGAGAGCGATAGTGGAGAGCCATTCTTTCGTCACTAGCGTTGAGTTAATCTTCCATCAGAAATAAAATTACGCTTTTAGTAGATCTTGTTTTTTTAGCCATATTGTGTTTTTTTTCATAACAACTTCTTAAAAGTGATTCTTTGGTTGAAAGGCAAAGAATTGTCAATTATCTTTAAAGAATTTTCCATGTATTTTATATCTATCTTTAAACAAAAATTAACATATTTATAGTACAGTATAAAAATATTTATCATTTTACGTTTATATATATAATAAATGTGTGTATATATATATATATATAAACGTTTATATATATAATATATTTATATAACATATACAATATTTTTTCGACAACTGTAATAATATTTCTCATTTTCTCGCAATTTCCTGCAATTCTATCCTTAGTAATACAACAATAACTTCTACAAAAACATTGACAGATCACGCTAGCCAATGACGTCCATCACGTTTTCAAAAATAATTTATTTTCTTTTTATATATTTTATTGAAAACGTTCATTTTGCGTAAATTTAACACGAAAATAAGCTAAATTGATGTTTAAAAAAATATGAACGTTAATCGATATTCCATAAATCGCCATATTTAATAGAAATAATTATTAACTTCTATTTATTTTAGAACTGAATGCAAAACTATAAAAATGTATGTTACATATATTACTTTTTCAATATAATTACAATAAAACAATGTAAAATTAATTATTTATTCAATTATTTATTAACTTTTATAAATATATCGGTAATGTCCATAAATCTATACAAGTATTCATTCACATAAGTTGTATTTTAAATTGTAAAAATTATTAGCATCATAGATATCTTCATTCAACAATATTTTTTGTTATAAATTATTTAATATATATAAAATTTTTTAGAAATTACCGTTAGCAATATTTTATCTTAAAAAGAATCTACGGACTACGCATATATATATATATATATATATATATATATATATAAATTGTCACTGATTTATAAAGAAAAGAAGAATATTGGAGACTCAAAAGCCAAATGCAGCATTCAGACTCACTATGGCATACATTTTGCGCGTACGAAATCAAACCGAAAGGGCCAATCGAATCACAGGTGGCTAGCGACGAAAGTGATGTAGGTATAATAATAACATGGGATTATGCCAGGTAGAAGAAAAATTAGCACAAGGACGTGTAGATATGTATTTATGTATGTGTGTGTTGTGCGTGTGTGTTGTGTGTGTGTGTGTGTTTGTGTGTGTGTATGTGTTTTTCTCTCCTTGTACGTGTATTCATAAGATGGGCTCGTTAATTCGTTTTCTAGGGTGTTTCCAGCGAACGTGTCCATCCGACAAAAGGATGTTTCTCTACGCGGTACGTACGTACGTACGTAGTATTATACCGTTGCCGTACTTGGGTTATATAACATTGCAGATTGCGTGAGGTCAGTTGCAACGGTATGGTAGATCTATACGGGGTGACCAACTTAGCCAGAAAACTCGATCTGATTGCCGTCGACAAAAGCTGCAACAAAAGCTGTAAAGCTATTCCGCGCCCGAATTATATATAGATATATGCTAAAATATATCGCATGACGAGGTACAAACGTTTTTTAAATCAACGTTGATCACCCCGCAGATATATGTATTTACAGATACATATATACACGTTACATATAAATATATTCGTATTTCAAATAGTTAATGTATTCATAGTCATCGCTTATATAAATAAAAATTATTTTTAGCATAATATTACGTTGTGTGTGAAATTTCAAAAATTTTAACAATTAAAAATTTTATAACTCTTGAGAAAATGCACAATGTGTAAAAATCTGAAACGTTTAATCCAGAAAATTAAGATATAAGCTATTACAAATATTATATTTTAAATTTATATAAAGTAATTCCTTTTTTAAATTTGAAAGAAAGTGATTTATCAGTAAGATCATGTATCTCTACTTGTTCTTTTGCCGTACTCCATTACAGTCTAAAGATAATTTTTTTCGCAGTATCGGTGAATTTTTTGAATACATTTAAATATATGTATATGCAACGAGATGACACTTGTCGGAAGGCAAACAACATCATATATAGATATATCAATAATGCCACACGGTGCAGCGTTATTACAATACGCCTTGGTACGTATACAAGTAGACAAAAGGTAGTACTACGTTTGGTCCCAATGAGAGAAAAAGAGAAAGATAGAGAGAAAAAGCTACGGTAAAGAGAAATGAGTAGTTAGATGGAGAGGTCTCGTGGATGTAGTAACTAATGGAGGTAAGAGCTAAAGGTAGCATTAACCCGTGCCAGCTGGAAAATCTAAGGCAGGGTGGAGTCGTAAAGAAAAAAAAAAATACTGCCGGGCATATCTGTACGAGTGAGTATCACAGTGTATGTATACTATATCAATCGCGCGTCAACCCTGAGACCCTTGCGAGAGCCTATCACTTTCTCCCCGGCTTTTTCTTGCCTCGCGATGCCTACGAGAAAAGGGCTATTACCTGTAGATCCTGCTTCGCCGCCTCCGCGCCTGCCCTTGTGTGAAAAGTCACGAATCCCACCGGCTGAAATGAGAAAGAAGAATACAAGAAGCATTTCGTTAGTATCCATGATTGTAGCGCCTCTCTCTCTCTCTCTCTCTCTCTCTCTCTCTCTCTCTCTCTCTCTCTCTCTCTCTCTCTCTCCCTTGGCGAGCATTCATTACGCGAGCGCCTCATCGCCGCCATTAGTTTGCCCTCGAACGAGCTTAGAATCACCAACGCGTTTCTGCCATTTGTATCATTGTTTTCATTTGGGAACGCTCGTTGCATCGTTCATAATAAGTACCCCAGTGAAATAAAAAATTATTATGGAAAGTAATCCGCGATTATTGTATAATGTTAAAAACGAAGTCCTTGTTTAATTTTAACAATAAGATAAAAAGTCTTCATAAAAAGATATCGATAAAGATTATCATCTCGATAATTTTTTAATTTATTGGAATGATATTAAATAGCTTCGATTATAAGATCATAAGAATCCGTTGAAATAAAATAAACATATAAATAAATATATATAAAAGTTTTGTGTTATTTATTTGCATTTTTGAAACTTTATTCGCAAAAAAGCCTTTATTTTTATTTCTTTCAGAGCAATCGCCCAGAAAGCAAAAGATCCGAGTTCAATTCCCGATCCAATCGATCGCGCTTGAATTAATTTTTATTTCTTTCAAATTTTTATATATTTAAATAAAATAATTAGTTAAATGCTAATTGCAAATTACCGACTGCATAGATATTTTATACAATTAATCTTCTAAAATTATTTTCAGAATGTATCTGATGGAATCAGATCCAATCAGATGCTTCGTTTTATTCATCTAATAAATGGATAAAAAGGTAAATAATAGTATAAAACTTCTTCCCTTACATTTCTAGATGAAAATATAGACACAAGCAAAAAAGGCTATATATTTGGTCAAAGCAAATATATAAAAATGTCTAACAATATTTTTAAGTGAATTTTATTATTCAAGTAAAAAAAATACAATAAAGTTTACTAATTAACTGCAAATAATTGCAGTAAAACAAAAAGTACTTTGACTGATGAAGTTGCAAAATCGCATTTGACCCCTACCTTGCCATTAAAAGGTTAATAATATCAAATTTTTCTAGAACCAACAACATAAACACATACATTCAATTCATTCTTTTATATAATAAACAACAGAGAACAATATAACTTCTTTAATCAAATAAAATTTTGAATTCATTATTGCTAATGTTATCATGTAATTATTTTATTTTAAAAGTAGAAATGTAATTCTAATATCATATAAGAATTACAATAATTCCTTTCTTGCAGAAACTGTTAATAAATGTAATGCAAATTAATTAAGTATATTATGAAAAAAATATATTATAAAATAAATTATTTTACTTATTTATGATAAAATTTCATTTGTAATTTTGTAACAATATGCAATAAATCCAATAAATGTAAAAAGATATTCTATTATCAATATAGAGGGTGAATCAGAGTAGTTAAACCAATTTTTGACCCTACGAAAAAATTATCGACTTCACACCTAATCGACTTAGCGATATAAATCAGATGTGTGGATACATCGTGCGAATTGCTGGGCTCACTTTTAATATATTTATTTATTAGGAAAAAACGCATTTTTAATATATTGTAACAATTTTCACAATTCAACATCAAACGTGTTTTCGCGCTCAAACCAGTAATTCGCACGATGTTATCCACGCATTTGATCTATATCGTTAAGTCGATAATTAAGTGTATAATCGATAATTTTCTTATAGGATAAAAACTGGTTACACTACTCTAATTCACTTATATCTAGAACTATAGTTACATTATAGAAAATGCCTGCCTGACCAAGATTATTGAGAAGTTGCACTCTCTCTTTTAGTTGTGCTTGCACTGTTGCATTTCTTAATATCATGTATTTGTTCTTTTACCTGCGCGCGCATTCGCTAATTTATTCGGTAGACAGCATCGATTCCATCGGTTTATACGAAATTAACGGAGCAATGAGGAGCATCGCGACGCGAAAATGCGCCGATCAATTCACACTAACGATCGCCCGTCAAGGCGAATCTACTACGCTTCATAATGCATCGCGTGATTACACCAACTGCAATCGAAGGTGTCGATTCTATCGAAGTGAGAGATAGAAATACCCTCGTTAACGCGGAGATTCGTTACTCGCCGTTTACTTCCGCGCCTCATCCCTCGAATATTCATGCATCCGAAAGAATAAAATTGGATCCGACTCGATTGAGTGCGCGCAATATCGAAACACAGAGGTGCCGTGAAAAAGAAAAAGTTAAAATGTAAATGATATTTAGCTGTCCGTAAAGTTCTAAAAAATTTCGCAATAATTTTCTTTATCTTAAAGATCACATTTTATATATATATAAAATTTTAGAAAGTATGTATATATATATATATATATACATACTTAAAAAATTTAGAAAGTATATATATATATATACTTTCTAAATTTTTTTGGAGAGAAAATTGAATCTAGAAAAAAAAAGTGAAAACTTTTCAGAATGACAAATTTTCATTCTTTTTCGGAGTGAGATTTAAAGGAATGAAATATTTCATTCCTATTTTTTTTTATTTTTTTTAATTTTTTGAAATGAGACTTTATTCCTTAGAATGACTTTTATTCCAAAAGAGTGAAATCTTACTCTTCTAAAGAGTAAAAATCTGTTACTCTTATTCAAGGATGAAATTATTTTCACTCTTTTTTTAAGACTGATTCACTTTTCAGATTTGAGATTTCACTCCAAAAGATTTAGAGAGTGTATCCTATCAATCAATAATTATTAATAATATTTCTAATGGTATATTATATAGTAAAATATATATACTAGGTGGGGTGAAAAGTAACCTCCTTGGGAATGAAAAAAATTTTTTTCTTATGCAGAATCTCGCCCAAAATATGGCGTGTTCGCTCAGTACTAATCTTTGTAGCATCTGCTAGCTCGCGCACCTTCACTTTCCGGTCAGCCAACACCATTTCATGTATTTTTTTGACATTTTCCTCGGTAACCGCATCGGAGGGCCTGCCGCTGCGGACTTCATCGGTAGTGGAGTTGCAGCTACCACGAAACTCTCGAAACCAATATTTGACGGTGTAATCTGACGGAGTATTAGCCACATAATATTTATCCAACTTTTCTTTTGTTTCCTTCGCCGTTTTGCTTCTCAAAAAATAATGTTTTATGAGAGAACGAAAATCGTTTTCGCAAACACGTCAACAACAATCAGCTCTCAAAACAAAACTAAGGGCAGTATCGCACTGCCACTTGGCATGTCTGCCTAAATATGAACGGACTACAAGGCACCATAAACTTTTTTGCAGTAGTGGCGCATTCTGGCGGTCAAGGAGGTTACTTTTCACCCCATCTAATATATAATGAAATATTAAACAATAAAGATAAATTTTTATCAACATTTGATCAGCAATTTCTTAAATATTTTGCAATGAAATAAAGCGTGTCAAGGATTATTGAACAAAATTTTAATTGCATCTAGATTAATATTCGTAGAAATTCTGTAAAATAATTCCATGAGAAATTCAGGTTCAGTAAATTCGCAACTACAGATCTTGAACTAATCACAGTTATCACGGTTAAAAGTACAAACGGAAAAAAAAGCGGACATGCCGCACTTTCACCTGGCGCATGTAACAGGCATTCAGCTCTCGCAATTGAACGCGGCAGGCACCACCGATCCATACCCGTTTTTTATTTCGCGATGATTACCAATCCATTTCCATCTCGATTCGAATATCAGATATAGTCACGCCGCGCCAGAGGCGCACGCGGGTGGCGTGCTTTCTTGCGTGCATCGCACGAATTCGCAGAATAATTCTTTATCAAGACACGGAATACCCAAACGTAATACATATCGTCGTTTTACCGTCGAGCAGTTTTTTTATCGATACATGCATCGTGATACGATGTAGGTTAATGGTCATGCGTGCAGCGGCCATGGAGACGATCGATTTCCTTCTTTCTCCTGTGTTTTTCTTTTTTCTTTTTTTTTGTTACTGTTGTCGCACACCACACTCTTGATATATACATGAACCGCGACGGCGCGACGTTGGTGTATCGGCTTTTCTTCCGGGCATCGGCGTTCTTTGTGCCGCCGCGACGACAACCCGTGCCCGTATATGCACCATGGTCATGTAAATGTGCATGCAATTATGCATGTAACCCTAGATAGAGGCAGGTAAAGGTACTACTTTTGCAACGCGGTCATGTATAATCGAAGGGTCTGGGAATTATAATATTGCCTACGCCATTAATTCTTTTAACAACAGTTATTCAGAAAATTGTCAAATTTAGATGCCCCGAATTTCATGCGCGCGTGCATTTCATACGTGTACGTTTACAGAAAAAAAAATATTGCTCTCTTCATAGAAAAACCAATAAATGTAGGTTCAAACGTAAACAACTCAAAAATAAAACGCGTAATGCGGAATGATTGACACACTCTTGACTAACTTGTATAACGAAATACATTTTCGATAAAAATGATGAAAAACGAGACGAAAAGGCTCAGAAAGATAAAAATTGAATTAATAAATCAAGAGCCTAGCTAGATGTTTATTATTAAATTTTAAACAAAGTACAGTTTAAACAGCAGACAACCGTCTAACTTTTAATCAGGTTATCGATGTTTTAAACTAGTCTAAGAGTCATGTGCGATATATAATTCAAACTAATTGTAAGAGTTTCCGACATCTACTGTGAGGTAGGTGTCCGGTAGTATAAAAAAACTTATCTATATCTAAATTCTAACAACAATTATAATAAACGTAAAATATAAGACGCAATAGTACATTATTTTAAGCGATTCGAATTAAATTGAAATAAATATCTTATAGAAAAGTTCTCAAACTTGACTAACTTCGCGTATTTTATGATAAAAATCTAGATAATAATTACGTTATATAAAATTATTACGAAAAGCCATTAAGAAATAATACTTGTTAATTTCAACACTCGAAAGTTATTACATTTATCGCATTTATCCGATAATATCAATGTACAATGTAATAACGAAAGAGAGATAAAAAGTTTTTTTATAAAAACGAATAAACATTGCAATATTATCTACTTGGTTATTATAAATCAAATTTACTCCGAGCTCTGAGAATAATCAGCTATATTTAAAACTAAAAATTTTCTCGAGTTAATCAATAGCAGGTGCGAGAGAGATTTTTATTGGAGAACACTTTATTATTATACGATCGATTTAATCTTACTAAATTGAAATCAAATCGAGTTTATTCTGCGAAAAAAATCGAAAAATCTGCAATCTCAATTGGATTAAGAGAAGATAAATTCTCACGTTTGTAGGAGATTTCCAACAGCAACTCCAAGACGGAGATAAATCATCATCACCGAAGCTACAAAGGAGCTTTGTACAAACTCCGCAATGGCACATCGCACTAGATAACGGAAGAATGCAAGACAACAAAAGCTTCTAACAACATTTGAAAATCTTTTCAGGGCGTCGCCATTTTTGAGAAACTGCTCTTCGGCTGCTGCTTTTCGTTCCCGGCGCAACGATGACCGAAGGAAACAAATGGTAGAAAGGTTGGTCCGACCCGCTATCGATTCGCACAGTCAGTCGTACCCAACCGTGCCAGTGGCCAAGAAGGTTTAAGCACCGTTCACACGGAAACCGTGCCTCTCCGGCTGTGCCTCTCTCGTCCGTTTTATTCGCATTCTGCTCATATTATATCCAATTACATCACCACGGCCATTACGAGCCGCCGCTTGCGTTCCGCGCTGGTTACAACGAGGTCAAGCTGCATGCAGGAACGAAAACATGTTATTAACTTTATTCCACGTGGTATATTTGCGGATTATCCCGATAATCGATATCGAATCTAGACGGAATTTAGAAAAATAGACGAAAAATTCGTTATTTCGACATTTGCCAAATAATAAAAAGCTCGAAATTTATCACATTCAATAAACTGACATGAGGTTTTGATATTTAGAAATTTCCATAAATTTAAGTATTCACACCTACACACATTGTGTTGAAGTTCAGATTTGATGTGGTCGAAAATTCACATAGTAGGGAATTGATTGATATATCCCAGTGTATACAAAAGCGGAAAGTGAGGTATATTCAAAGATTCATATAAAATCAAATTGATAGATTTCCATAGATAAATGCGAAGTTTTGTATCAATATAAAAACTATAATTTCTCGAAGATTGATAGCCTCAAAAATTTTACAGCTCGGAAAACTAACAGATTTTAAAATTCATTATACCTTGCAATCAACAAATTCTAAGCGTGTGACAAAACTATGAATCTAAATTAAATTTTGACTCTTCCTCGTACCTTAAAATTCCATAATTTTCAATATTTACAACTGCAAAGAATAACAGATCAGAAATCAAAGATTTACTATATCCAGATTCATCGAAATATTTTAAACTTCCATAACTCGACGTACTTCGAATGAAATGAGATTCTTTAGTAATCAATACAATCGTCGTAGTTTTATTTTAGAAAGTCGTAATATATCTATCACGTGCGAGATACAGATAAAGTCTGGTAAAGGATACAGAATTAAAAAGTAAATACTAAAATAAAAAAATGTTAAAATGCTTTATGGATTAAGGACTTTACAGCGTCAGAGTATGCTCTCGCGTGTGCTGTTCCACCGTCGCCGCATAAATTAATGTTATCTCGGGGGATTATACTGGGTTGAGTAGTGCGCGCGATGGCATTGCCGCATGATGAAATTTGATGTATTTCTCTCTGTCGGCTGATTAGATATTTTTAAGGCTTCGTGACTCACGTAATCAACGAGTACGCTTTGAATAAATAAAAAAAGCTTTTAGCATAAACAGCTACCGTTTTTTCATTTAAAAATGTAATTTTAATCCTCACGAATTCGAAAATTATATAATATATGGAATAGTAAGACATCAAAATACTTTTTATTTTTGTATATATAAAATAAAAATTATTTATTTCTACAATATTCTGCGAGATATTATTTCGAGAGAGATTTTAAATGCAAAAATTATGTTTTTTATAACTTGTAGAGCGAAGTTATTTTACTTATTTTATGTAAATTTTATGTAAATATATTATAAATGATGATATATTATACAATTCTGTAAATAAAAATAGATCGATAAAGAATTGACAAGAATGTATAACAGAGAATGTACGAAATCACACAAACTCCCCTGTGGTCCAAAAATTCGATCGAAACTCATGGTTTGGCTGACAAACTTTTTCCATTCGTTTTTTTCCCTTGAGCATTGTCATGCTAGAAAGAGAGAGAGAGAGAGAGAGAGAGAGAGAGAGAGAGAGAGAGAGAAAGATAAAAAAAGAGTTTGCACTATTTTCACTACTCCGTGTAATTGATTCGGAATTTTCTTGAAATGTACGTTTTCTAGAAATGTGCTCGAGAAAAGCCGGGATCCAATTTTATCTCTTCGTCTTCTCAAATGTATAAAGAAACGACATATATCGACAGTATCGAGCTACCTCGCGAATCTAGGGCAAATGTATCTATGTTAAAAGCTCGATAACGCTTTTTCGGTATGAATGTTAAAAAACACTATGTTGAAAACGTAACATCGGCTAATCATATTGTCAATTAAGCGATGGCAACTTACCGACGCTGTTTTCCCATTTTTACTCGTGACTTTTAACAGCGACCCTTCGTACCCCTGGAACAGGAATAAAATATCACGTCATTAAAACTTCATATCATATCAAAATACTGTTTGCAACCGATATGGTTAAACAAAAAATTGACTAACTTTATATGAATTTGATATCTGTTATATATTTTTATTTTTGCTTAAAAATAAAACAAAGATCTGTATTATTTTATAATAACTTAAACTTATATAAAAATGTGAAATAAGCGTTAGAAAATAGACACATGCAAGTCTATTTTAAATATAATAGTATAATATAAAATAAAACAATTGTATTTTCGTGTATCCTGGAAAATTTGGATAATTTTAAAATGTTACTTTAAAAAAATTCCCTTTTTAAAGTAACATTTGAAAATAAGAAACGAACATCACACACAATACTCAATTAAATATTTAAACACTAGCAATAGATTAACTAATACTTGCAAATAAATAATATAGAAATTTCTAGTCTAAGAAATTATTTTAAAAATATAATGCACATACAATATATATGGTGATTTATTGTTAAATGCGCTCAGCACGGTTCTTTTTGCAGCAGAATTTACGGAGACTATTCAGAATAGCAAACAATATCGAATGAAAAATAAAGCAAAACATTCACATATATTATTAAATATCTAACACATGCTAAGGTATCCATGAATTTTTTAACGGCTATCGCTTAAATTATCCATCGTTAACGTGCTCTATTCCATTTCCTTACACGAGAAAAGTGTATAATAGACTTTTTAATTTCCTACGATCTTAATGCATAACACTTCGTTATTGCGTTATCGAAAATCTTGTTTCATGCTACCGCTAAAGATAAAGGAATCCTTGCAGTAAGGTAACGTTTCCGTAATTTTTATAAGAGAACTTCAAGTAGAACGCGCGAGATGAGCACTCGGTTACATGCGAACGCTGTAAGTAGTATTCATTACCAGAGTACCAAACTGTTAATAATTGCACGATCGCGATGGAAGTGCTAATTAACGAAGCCGCAATTAGAGAGCGCGGTAAGTCTCGGAACATTTATCCAACGTGCTACATTTTTCGAGTTTAAACATTTCAAACTTGCATACGTGAGCAATAGCAAAAATGCTCCACACCATTTTCCAAAGATTTCCAAGTATTGATCATCAATTAATTGTAGCTGCAATTATAATTATCCAAAAATTATATACATTTAGAACTAAATTTAAAACTAAAAATAGAATTAAATATCTATTGCCAAGATAATTTATAGTTTTGTAACAATACGTGAAAATGTGTATTGAAAACTTTAAATAATTAATTCCATTAATTGTTCTTTATTACAATTTTTTATTAAAAATTTAGACTCAGACACATATGTTATTATTTAAATAATTTAGAAAGTTTAATGATAAATTTGAATTTCACCTAAATGTCTCACTTTAGACGCACAGATCGATGTGCGAAATTTCCCAAGTATCTGTTACAACATTCTTGGCACTCGCGAGGTTCTTAATCTTGCATCATTAATCAGCTTGTCCTATCCATGAAATATTACTGCTTAATTTTTATAACAAATAAAATAAAGATTCTTAAATTTAATTTAAAATTTAATTTCGTATTATAATAACTATAATATATAGGAATTAATAATTGTATTTAACTCAGATTGGTTAATCAATTTCCTGCTATTTCTTACATTAAGAATATAATTAACACACGATATATTATAAATTTCAATATTAAATTTTCATTGTCTGTTCAAAAAATATATGTCTTAAATCATCTTAGATATATCATCTTAGATATATCGGTAACGCTACGTTATATTTCTAAAGTATCCATTTCAACATTCTTGGCGCTGAGTTCAGTGTCTCGCACATAATTAATTAACTTCCCTTAACTATGAAATATCGCAGTCATTAAAAGACTGGTCTCGCGGGGAAACATAATCGAGTTTTCGACGTCACTCGCATATGTTGTGTTCACACGATACATACAATGTGCAAATAGTTCCTGCACTTTTCTGAAAGTTTCGCGGTAGTATGAGACGTTGGCGAACTGATCCGCCTGGCTCTCCTTCCGGCGCGAAAACTCGTCGTAAATTCATAGAAAACGGGTCGCATAGATTATGCGTATAACGTTACGATATCTCAAAAACGATTAATAACTGGATTCGCGCGACGGTATTCTTCGCATGTACACCAAGAGATTTGCGAGCGAAAATAACGTGCGTGGTGATGCTACTCAAGGTTTATTGTTCACGGTATGTCGCCAGTTATGTGTCATATCGATGCCAAGAAATCGCGTTCTCTCTTGATTCGCGTGCAGAAGACGGCCGCTGTCAATATACATCACTCCTACACCACAATCGGTGCATACTGTATACGAGACAACGCGCACGTTTCTGCGATTAAGATATGTTTGCAGCCTTTCTCGTAACAAATTTTCAGAATTCCGATCTGCAACTCTTGTCGTTTCAATAAAAGCGATTCTATAATAATTTCTATTTTTTTTTATTCAACAATGTCAAGCATAATTTAGTGTTTGTTCGCGAAATAAAAAATTCAATTCGTATTATATGAAAGATACAAATGTATGAAAAGATCGCAGGCAATTATTTATGTAGGCAAATTATTATTTCTGGTTATATCATATATAGAGCGCATATCAGAGGTATTGTATTCAAAATTTTATCTGAGAATATTATTATCGTAATAGAAGGCGAATAGTGTGTATCAATTATAAACAGTTGAGTGAAAGCAATATTGCATTGGTTAATTTCTGGAATACGCGTAGGCAACAATATTTCATTTTCTCGTTTCAATTTTAAACAAAGTTTACTTTAATAGAGTAGAAATGAAGATATATATATATATATATATATATATATATATATAAAATGTAATTATATATATATATATATATATATATAAAATGTAATTATATATATATATATATATATATATAAAATGTAATTATATATATATATATATATATATATAATTACATTTTTTAATTAAAAAAAATAAATTAAAAGAAACTG